TTGGGCATATTCCATTCGCTTCCTGCCATAAGTCAACAATTAAAGTTTAATTTCAAAGAAGCATCATTTTACTATAGTTTGATTACTATGGTAAATAGGGGTAAGGAAAAAAATGGAGAAGAGACACCACAACCACGGCACATCACTACAGACTTCAGGTTTTGTTTTATTTTTTAAGGGCAGCGTCTTCAGGTAGGTATTCCAGGCTGGCTTTAAACTTGGCACACAGCTGAGGATTGAGTTCCTGATCCTCTTGTCTCCCAAGTGCTGAAATTGCAGGCATGTACCATCATGCCCGATTTCTTTGCAGACTTTGACGTTTGAAAGCACTATATTGTTTTACAGCGCCTAACAAATACTCTCAACGTCTTTGCACACGGAAATATTCACCCGTAGCATTGTTTCGGTGGCTGCGTGGCATTTGGATGATGTCCAAATGACCTCGGTTTCATGTTGTGTGGCATTCTGAAGAATTCTAGTCAATACTTTCCCCACACATACCAAGGAGGCTGCAGCTTTTTGTCCTCCCCGCAATTTCCTGAGGTAGTGACTGCGTCCCTTCTCTGGCGACACCGAAATATCTGTGCATTATCACTGTGTGCTAAGGTGAGGATCGCTAAACAAGTAAGACAGGGTTGTGAGGCAGAGCGGCGGACTCACTGCTGCTGACCCTGGCGGAAGTCTTGCCCGGCTCCTCTGACCTGTGACACAAAGCGCCGGTCTCCGGGCGGAAACGCTGCGCTGTGGGAAGGAGAGTGCGCGCATGCGCACAAGGTGAACGACCACAAAGTCTCGTCTCAGGTAGTGGCCGAGGTCCTTTCTGGTGGCGGCAAACACCCGGGTTTCAGGGTGAGGGTGGAGGGCGTGGCGTGTAACCCTGAGAGCTCCTAATGCTGACTTCAGGGAGTAACACCCGGCTGGCCCGCCTGCCTGTCACCGCTGCGCCGGGCTGTGGCGGGGGCCCCCGGAAAGGGGGCGGGCCCACAGGGAAGTAGATAAAAGGGCACTTCATGGAACGTGCTTTGACCATGGAAATGCCACATACTCAGTTCACACCGTACAGCAATCCTCGGTGAACCTGAAGAAGGATGTCACATGTAATCGGATCAGGGTCGGGGTGGCCTCGAGACTTTCCTTGTCCAATTTTGTTGAAAACTAGTGAGGTAGCTATCATTTGGCTGTCCGAGTTCCCTCATAGCTTAAAAACAAGTTATGCCCAAACGAGGGTGTCATTTAAGCACACCTAGGTATTTGTTAGGTCTTTCCGTTGTTTAAAAGGCACTTGCTGTCTCTTGTGGTCTGTTCCAGGAATGTGTTTCTGCTCTTCTGAATTTCAACCATGTTGTCAAACTACTTACAAAATTTTCTAAAAGCCACAAGCTTTCATCCATATCCAGCGTCATGCTGTTGCTTATTAAGCAAACGCAAGTTTTCTGGAACTATGCCAGCAGCCATGTTGCGTAGGCGAGTTGTCATCACAGGCATCGGACTAGTGACACCACTTGGTGTTGGGACTCAACTTGTTTGGGATCGGCTTCTCCTAGGAGAAAGTGGAATTGTTTCTGTAGTTGGTGATGAGTACAAGAGTATTCCTTGCAGTGTAGCTGCTTATGTGCCAAGAGGTACTGGTGAAGGTCAATTCAATGAACAAAACTTTGTGTCCAAATCAGACATCAGGGCCATGTCATCTCCCACCATCCTGGCCATCGCGGCAGCAGGGTTGGCCCTAAAGGACTCTGGCTGGCATCCGAAGTCAGAAGCTGATCAGGTGGCCACTGGTGTGGCCATTGGCATGGGTATGGTTCCTCTTGAAGTTGTTTCTGAAACTGCTTTGATGTTTCAGACCAAAGGCTATAATAAAGTCAGCCCATTCTTTGTCCCTAAGATTCTGATAAATATGGCTGCAGGCCAGGTCAGCATTCGCTATAAACTCAAGGGCCCCAATCACACAGTGTCCACCGCCTGCACAACAGGAGCACATGCTGTGGGAGACTCCTTTAGATTTATAGCCCATGGTGATGCAGATGTGATGGTGGCTGGGGGCACAGATTCTTGCATTAGTCCATTATCTCTTGCTGGGTTTTCCAGAGCCCGGGCTCTGAGCACAAACCCGGATCCCAAGCTGGCCTGTCGACCATTCCATCCAGAGCGAGATGGGTTTGTCATGGGCGAGGGTGCTGCTGTGCTGGTGTTGGAAGAACGTGAGCATGCTGTTCAGAGAGGAGCCCGGATGTATGCAGAAGTCCTGGGCTATGGACTCTCCGGTGACGCTGGTCACATAACTGCCCCTGATTCTGAAGGAGACGGTGCCTTCAGGTAAAGAATGGCTCTGTTCAATATATTTTCTCCTGTAAGACATTATTGGAACTTCAAATTCAAAAAACGTTAGCCAGTCTTGGTGTATAGTATATATTTTTCTATCTTAAACTAAAAGTAGTTTTAAAAGTTCTTTGCTTGAACTGTTGGAAAACTTTTGAAGACCTTTAAACAAAAATCGAATGGACTTCAGTTAAAGCTAGTAGAGCTGTGTCTTTGTTGACTTGCTGTGTCCTTTCTGCTTGGTAATCATGAGTGTTCCCTTCCCCAGACTCCCTTTGAACCCTTTTCAGACCTGGAGAATAAAGACAAGTCTTGCCAGATGTGTCTGGTTGGCTTCTGTCCCTTTCAAAGCAACATTTCTCAGCCAGGCACCCAGGGGTCTTGCTGATGGCTGATTCTGACTGTGGATCTAGGTTGACACTCAAGAGTCTGCATTTCTAACAGCTCTGTCTAAAGACCATACTTTGAAAAAAGTCCTAGATAATATTATTTGCTTAGCTTAGACCATATTATGTTTTATCTAGTTAAATCTCCCAGGAGTTATCGATATTTCCTATACAGGACAAATACTAGCCAATTTTGACTTTGAGAATCACAGGATCTCTGCCATGACACTCTGGATGGAGCTCACCCAGTGTACTTGGAAACCTTTATTTCTTTCACACAAGTTACTTGAATGAACAATCTGCTGCTAAATTCCTTTGATAATTTTCTTCTCTTACCAGATGCATGGCTGCTGCTGTAAAAGATGCAGGTGTGTTGCCTGAACAGATATCCTATGTCAATGCACATGCCACCTCCACGCCACTGGGTGATGCTGCTGAAAACAGAGCCATCAAGAGGCTCTTTAGGGACCATGCTGGCACCCTTGCCATATCCTCCACAAAGGGAGCCACCGGGCATCTGCTGGGGGCTGCAGGGGCTGTTGAGGCAGCTTTTACTGCCCTGGCTTGTTACCATCAAAAACTACCACCAACTCTAAACCTGAATTGCACAGAGCCAGAATTTGATCTCAATTATGTTCCACTGGAGGCACAGGAATGGAAAACTGAGGGGCGATGTATTGGACTCACCAATTCCTTTGGGTTCGGTGGTACTAATGCAACACTTTGTATTGCTGGCATGTAAACATTGGCTTTTAATTGTCATAAATGTATAAATAATGTGTATGTCCATATGTTTAAAATCAATACCCAGATGTCTTTAACACAATTGGTATTTGTAGTAGGGCAGATCTTATTAGGGAAGAGGCTGCCCAGTGCTTTGTATTTTAAAGCAACTTGGTGTCTCCTGGGAGATAACAAGTATCAGTGGCAACTAGTGACAACCAGATTTGTCTCTAGACATTGCCTTATGTGTTCTGGGGGACAAAATAACCTGAGTTCATCAACCATTTGATTTATATTTTCCTAATGCTTTGAATCAAATAACTTTGGTGCTATTTCATTCACTCCTGTCCTTTTCAGATATTTAGAGAGTAGCTCCTCCAAGCAAGGCTGTGTTGCTACATGTTATAACTCCAGGGTCACCATTTTTGTACAGCACATAGGAAGGAAATATACAAGTAGGAAGGTGTGTAATCAGTCAGCATCCTTTGAGGACAGTTGTCAGCCAGTGATGACCTATTCACCTATTTAGGTGTCATTAATGGAATTTCCCAGAACTCCAAAGTTTTCATTTCTTGGAAGAAGGAAGTGAAACTGGTTTGGTATTTATTATTCTGGGTGTATTTGTGCTCTGAAGAATGGACATAAAGATATACCTTTTGAAAAGACACCCCCACTCTACCTTTGTGGCTGTGGCAATGTTCTTCCAGCTTCCCACTCTTAAGAGTCAGTGGGCCCTCTACTTTGCTGCCTTGCTCTTCTGAAGCCAGAGGAGCAAGTTTCACAGAGGTGACAACCAGTCAGAGAAGCATTTGGTAGGCAGGGCTTTTACTTCAGAGTAAGTGCTTTATATCAATGCAGACCGTCAGGTCGGAAGTGACATGGAGCTTCCTTCAGGTGCCACAGCATTCCCCTGGCTCAGGGACACCTTTAAGTTTTCTGTCCCTGTTCTGCCTTCATGGCTTTTATCCCTATCCCATGAGTCATCCCCAAACAAACTGCCTTTTCTTTGGCTCTGCTTTCTCTGTGGCTCACACAATGAAATGGAGTAAAGGAGAGGATAAATGGTTATACGCCTTTCCTAGAAATGAGTGTATTCCCACATTTCACTTAAAACTTCTTGTTTTAAATTTTTTAGATTTTAAAAATATCATGTATGAATGTTTTCCGTGCATGTATATTTATATGTATGTACATCATGTGTGAGCCTGGTGCACAGGGAGGCCAAGACAAGGCATTGAGCCTGGTGCACAGGGAGGCCAAGACAAGGCATTGAGCCTGGTGCACAGGGAGGCCAAGACAAGGCATTGAGCCTGGTGCACAGGGAGGCCAAGACAAGGCATTGAGCCTGGTGCACAGGCATCAGATCTCCAGGAACTTCAGTTATGGATGGATTTGAATCATCATGTGGGTGCTTAGGACCAAACCCAGGTCCTCTGCAAGACCAACTAGTCTCTTAACTGCTGAGCCATCTCTCCAGCCCCTTGTCCTTGGTTTTTAAAATCTGTATGTGTGTGGGTTGTGGGCATGTCTTTGGGTGCATGTGCCACAGTGGTAGTCAGAAGACAACTTTGTGGAGTTGGTTTTCTCCTCCCACTTTTATGTGAGTTCCAGGATTTGAACTCAGGTGTTCAGGCTTACATTGCAAACACTTTACCTACTGAGTCAGTTTTTCAATTTTAAAAAAGAAAAAAGCATCTCACTTTGTAGCACAAGCTGTCTGCAAATGTTCTGTGTAGCTCAGGCTGACCCCAAACTTGACACAAAGAACAAGCAGGCTGTGAATTTGTGGTTACCCACCAAACCCAGATTAGTTTAATTGACTCTGATTGCTGTTCTCCTTTGATGCTCAAACATTGTAACCAATATTAATTTTCATTAACATGTAATCAATATTAATTTCCATTAACATGTATTTGCTCAGCTGAGAACTTAGTGGGGGCTCTATATTGTCAACAGTAAAAAAGTTTGCACTAGAGAAGATCCAAAAAGGCTGAATACATACATGTAAGCAAATCTCAAGTTAAGGGGGAAGATGAGAAGGGAGCAGTATTCCAGCCTAAGGGGATTCAATGTAGAAAGTTCTAGAAGTTAGAACACTTGTGCTAAACAAATCCACTATACTCTAAGGAGGCTGGGAGATAATGTCAAAAGATCTCTTAGATGTTAGGTCACAGAATCTGGCAAATTTCAATGAAGTGAGGGTAATAAACCATTTAGGATGAAATGGTAGAATGACTTTTAATGCGTCCATTTGGCTGGCCTGAACTGTTTCCCAGAATTCACTTTTTGCTTAGGGTTGGTTGTGAGAGATTTCTTATGAGTGATATGAAAGATGTTATTGAATCTTAATGTGAGTCAGTGGGTGAGCCTGCAACTGTTTCTTCCTGAGTCTTGAATTGTTCCATGACATTGACTAAGCCCAGCTAGCCCCTGCCCATACCATCAAAATGAAACACAGGAACTTGTGAATGTTTCAGTTCCTCCTTCTATTTGTGGGTTCTGGCTGGCTATTGGAACATTACAGTTGTCTTCCGGAAGTTTCCCGCACCTGCTCTGTTTCAGACTCCATCACCAGAAGGCAGGCAGTAGTCACAGCAGCAGCACTTCGGAAGATACTTAACAGTTCTCGAAGTTGTGTAATGTCTGAGCCATATAAGAAGTGCTCACCTCTGTGGTTTTGTTTCTCCAGCTGAAACTTGACTGATACAAGAGGAAAGGATGTTATAGGAGTGCCATTATCACAGTTTATTTTAGAAATCTCACTGGCTGTCGAGATAGGAGCTGACCCCAGGAAAGCTTGAGTCCCTTAAGGGAATAGAGCCCGAAGGGTATTGGAAAGGTAAGCAGGATATGGTGACTCATTTGTGTTCCAAAGTACACCACCAATGGTGATTTTTAAAACCAACTCTAAGACACTGACATACAACCTGCCTTTAGTGTTGTTAGATGCATTTTGATGAACATGCATGCATATCTGTAAATACTGCTTCAAATACTGTGGTGATAAAATATTGTTTATGATCTAATAAAGCTTGCCTGGAGATCAGAATGTAAAGCTAGCCACACTAGTTAGCCATAGAGATCAGGCACTGGTGGCACGCACCTTTAATCCCAGCAGCCACACTATCTAGCCATAGAAGCTGGATGGTAATGGTATATGCCTTTAATCCCAGCACTAGAAAGATATATAAGACAGGAGCAGGGTCTCAGAACTTGGAATCAACCTCCAGCTACATTGAGGATGGGATTTCCCCAGCCTGGATAGAGGTAAGAGTTCTTTCGTGGCTTGACTGTTTTGCTTTCTGATCCCTGGGCAAGCTTTATTAGATCATAAACAATATATCACCATACCAGTCAAAATAAACGTGCTCATCACACCTAAAATTACTTTGTGACATGTTTCAAGAAGGTTCCCCCGGGGTTGTTCTGTTACACCGTGCCCACTCTTACAAGACACAGAAAAGCACCCTGTCTTTGTTCAAACTGACCAACACTAAAATAGAAGAGAGAGACCTCTCCAGTTCCATAATACCCCTAGCCTTTGAGGAGAGACTGGATTTTCAGACTCTCAAATCCACCCCTTGCTTTGCAAAAGGTCCTTTCTCTGTGTGCAAGCATTTTCTCACCCCTAATAAAAGCCTTTCTTTATCAGCTGATTTTGGTCACCCTCAAGCCATCCTCTTGGCAGGCCTTGGGTGTGTGTGTGGGATTGGGGAGTGTGCTGTAACCCAAGGTTTCATTTGTAAGTAATGAGTCATTGGTGTTTGTCCCCTATCTTTTTCATGCGCAAATGTGAGGGTCAGAGTTTAGATTCCCAGCATCCCTGTAGATGCCAGGCTACTGTTATTCTAATGTGGCTACAAGCACTTCAGTCTGAGACCCTGCCCACTCAATTCTTTCTAAGTGTTTATTGGTCACAGGCACTGGACTTGGGCAGCAGTTCTGAGGTTCTCTGCCTTGTGTATATGTCACAAGACTCTGGGATTCAGACATGAGAGCATATCATAAGCTATTCAAGTAGGCCACTTGGATATTCTTGGGCCTATTTCCACCACTGTTAGCCAGATGCATTTTGTGGTACAGCTAGCTAGTGAGGAAGGCTGGATAGTGTGAATTGGCAGTTATGTCTGTACTCAGCAGGTGCTTCTGGAAGTATGAATGAGACTCAGAAGCCTTCACTCTAACATGGTATCTACATATTCACTCACATGCCCCTATTCAAAATACTCTTCTCTTATTCAGTCCATGCTTCCTAGACCCTTAACCAAAAGCCAGGACTTCCTTATATATTTTCAGCTCAGATGCTACTTCTGCTACCAGAGTGTGGTGATTTAAATAAGAAACGTGCTTCATAAGCCCGTGCATTTGGACAACTCATCTGCAGTTGGTGATGCTGTTTGGGATAGCCTTGCTAGAGGAAGCGTGTCACTGGGAGTAGGCTTTGAGAGTTTACAGCTTTGCCACTCTTCTGCTTACTCCCTGTTCTCTGTGAACAGTTGAAGGTGTGATCTCTCAGCTTTCTGCACCAGCTGTTTTTGGGGAAAGGGAAGGAAGGATTAAGGTCATATGTTTGCTACCCAGGAGTCCCTATTCTCAGAATCCAGCAAATGCCCAGGAATGAAGTAAGACTCAGAAATGGATGTCTGTTGAAGCAGAGAGTACTATGCTGGGAAAGGTCGTGTCTCAGAGCTGTAGACCATCAAGTGGACTCCGGGCTGATCTTTTATAGTACTGCTTTCTCTCTCTGTCTCTCTGTCTCTCTGTCTCTCTGTCTCTCTGTCTCTCTGTCTCTCCTTTTTTTGATCCCCACTCTTTCTTATCTTCCCCCACCTCTCTTATTATTTCATCTCCTCAACCTAGATGGCCTTTGGTCCAAGGAGATAGCAAAGGCCAGAAGGAAGCATCCCAGCTGCAGAGCCGGGATATTATCTCTTGATGGTTCAGCTGCTTTTGTGGGAATTTTATCTCTTTCCTCTGACCTCTTCCCCAGTTGCCTAGTGTCTGTTAGGTCCTCATACATCCACCTGGTGTCATGCCTCCCCTGTCACTATGGACCCCACTTTGGAACAATAAGCTCTCCTTAAGTTGCTGCTGGTTATAGTGTTTTTATTAGAACAACAAAAACTAACAAATACACGAGGAGATGATACCCACTGCAGCTTTGCCTGTTTGGGATATCTTCTCTCCTTAATCCCTTTCCAGTACACTCTGAGCATTATTGGGATACAGTTGCCATCCATTTCAACTTGACTTCCTGCAAGAACTATTTAAGAGAGAAAATCAGGATTCAACAATTGATTGCTTTCACTTTCTGCTCCAAATTTCCTGTTTTGTTTTATTCTTTCCTTCCTTCTTTGGATTGGGTTGGCTTGTTTCTGGGGTATATTTGATTACTGGATTGAGGCAGGAAAATGTGCTTACTGTGCTGCCTCTTGTGCCTGCTCTCCCAAATGTGGGAGGTCTGATTTAGACCACACAGTTATGTGCTTTATGTGACATTGTTGTCTCCATTTTATGGATAAAGAATCTGAAGCTCCACTACTTTTGGCATTTTGATGCAGGGTCCATGCTGTATGGTCCAAGATGGTCTTAATCTCCAGGTACCAGGCTTACAGACATGCACTTCAGAGACCAGTTTAGGAATCTGGAAGTTCAATGGACTGGTGACAGAACAGGAGCTCAAAGGGGTCTTATGGACGTCAAGGAGCAAATTCTTGACCCCAGGAACATACCAGCCTCCTGAAGAGCAAGCTTGAGCCTCCCCACCAAGAGTTGTCTTACACTTACCGGGCAGAGCAGAGCCCTTCAGGAGCTGGATGAAGGAACTGAAGAACTTCACTGAGTATCATCTGTGTTTACTTAGTAAAGAGCACGATATGACTATTTTGTTTTTGTAGATACTAATGGTTAAATTAGAATTTGTCAGCCATCTTAGCGGAATCCCAGCCCCCACATTAAAGGGATCCATTGATAGTGGTATTGATTTCTCCAGGTTTTGTATGCGTCTTTATTTAAATAAAAAAAATCATCATAAAACTATAAGGGAAAGACCCATTATTGTTTACAGATAAAAATATGGGTTTTCATACACATTGTTTATGTATATTTGAATACATACAAAAATAAACATTACAAAAAGGAGTTAGAACAATGCAGCAGCTGTGTCAGCCTCTGCTCCCCACCCCTCTCAGCCCCTCTCCACCCCTTGCCGCTCCTCCCCAAATCATACAGCTGCATGGGGAACACAGGTGGGACTCAACTACTCATGCTTTGTACATGCCATTTTAGTATTTTCCCTCAAGATTTTTTAAAATGTCTTTTTGTCCAAAGCAAGAGAGAAATGTTTTGCTAGAAATGGATTCAGAGAGAAGAGGAATTGGAAATTTCTAATTACTGAGCTCAGTTAGCACATTGTTGAAGCCATTTTGTCTGATTAGCATTGGCTAAACAGCCATTGAGAGTTGCCTTTAATTGCCCTGCTTGGCTTTATGTGGCCATCCTGTGTTAACAAAAGACTGGTGGAGAGTAGCCGACCGCAGTCTTCTTTCTGTTCAGAGTGGCATTGTAAAGTAAGGGGAAGACTTGGACTCTAGATCTGCATCTAAGTTGCCATTGTCAGCTCTGAAATGAATTTAATAGTTCCTGTCCAACAAGCTGGGCAAATTGGCACCTGCCTGTATTTCCAGCACTGTAGAGGCCGAGGAATGCAGAATGTTGTGAATTTGAAGTTATCATGAGCTACAAACAGAGTTCCAGGCTATCCTGGGCTAAAGAGTGAGACCCTCTCAAAATATGTATAATAAAATATAATAAATGATAATACCTGACTAACAGTGGTCTCTAGACTCCAGTAAGGCTGGTTAATGCAGTACATGTAATCCTCCTAACAGACATTTTCATCTTTGGGAAACTGGTTGATAAGTCCATAGGATGTTTTTATGCTATTGTTATATATCTCTATAAAGTTATTAATTATTGTCCTGCTGTCTTTGGGATTCATTGTGGCTAGGGTTATAGCCCTACAAGGAAAATGGTTTGCCAAAGTAAAAAGTAACTATCTCACCTTCAAAAAACAATTGCCATGAAATAATCAGTGTGAAGCATTGAAACAATAACACAGGAACTTGGAGAATTTGTCCTGAAGACATGAAAGGTGGGAAAGCCCCTTTCTAGTATGGGCAGCGGGTAAGGTAATCACTCCAGGGTCTTTCTAGCTGATGTTTTGTTTTTAAATATCTGTTTAAAGATTATGCTAAGGGCACCAGTATGGAATCTTTTGTAGACAGGCTGGGTGAGAACATTACCCAGTTCTGTGCCTGTCTGGTTTGCATGGCTAACTTGAGATAAACAGGACTTGAATGCTCCTGGTTTACACAGCCTATTTTTACAATGCATCTTCTTTTTTCTCCTTACCAAGATTTCTTTAGAAATTGTCTTTTGGTTTAAAGCAATAGAGAGGTTTGATTAAAAATGCATTCAGAGAAGGAATTAGAGTTTTAATGATTAAGTGCTATTCTTTCCCTGCCATTCAGTGATGATGAATACATAGCAATGCAGAGTGCAGAGGTCCTGCAAGGAATCCCCCAGACAAACCAGTACTGGGGCTGTACAGTCACTAAAGCAGCACTGGGAGCATAGGCTGAGAGGATCCATCAAATACAGCAGCATCTTTGCCATCCCCCACATAAAGCTCCAGGAGAGCAGGCTCTTGAGAAGTTTGGGAAGTTGTGGAATCTTTAGTAGGCAGAGGCTAACTAGAGGAAGTTGGTGCCTAAGAGGGTCAGGAAATCTTGAGGATTCCAACCAGTCCCACTTCCAGATCTGGTCTTTCTACTTCTGGATCTACTCAAGTGTGGGCATTGGTCGGGAGCTGCACTTGCCACCATGGCTCCTCTGCCATGATGGAGTGCACCTTCGGACTGTAAGCCAGAGCATATTCTTTCTCCCTTGAGTTACTTCCTGCCAGTAATTTTATCACAACAATGGCAAAAGCAACAAACACAAGTATGTCCCTGTAATAATTACCTTTCACTTTTAAACCATAACACTGAGTCTCTTGGGAGAGGTCATTTCCTGTACACTTTCCCCAGAAAGTGTATATATCCATGAAGGATAGATTCCTGGAAAGGAGGTTAGGACCATACATAAAAAGAAATACTGCCACAAAATTTCTCTCTCTCTCTCTCTCTCTCTCTCTCTCTCTCTCTCTCTAGCTTCTTTTTTTCCCCTTAGAGGTTGGCACTCCCATAAACCCTCCTTGCCTTCTCTTGTCCCACCCTGAGATGAAATTTAAGTGGGAGATCCTGAAGACCACCTCCGGTCACATTTTCTGTAACTCTTCTAAACATAGATGATAAAAGTGTGTCGTTTATCTTGTCAACCTGCCTTTTTAAAATCAGTTTAATTTGCACCCCTTTATGAAACACGTATACTAAGCAGACAGAGAAGTTATTTCTTGCTGACAAGGGTGACACCATTCCTTTATGTACTGTGTGAGTCTCTTTTGAGCCAGGGCATTCATTTAGTAGTCACAGAAGCTGTATAGTTACTGAGCCTAACATATTTTCTTTTGTTTTTTCAAGATAGGGTTTCTCTGTGTAACAGCTCTGGCTGTCCTGGAACTCACTCTGTAGACTAGGCTGACCTTGATGAACTCACAGAGATCCACCCACCTCTGCCTCCCGAGTGCCGGAATTAAAGGCAACATATTTTCTATGACCTGTTTTTAAAAGTTAATATTTATTTTCTGTATGTGTACATGTATGTCTCTCTGGGTGCCCAGAAGGCCAGCACAGGGTGTCAGATCCCCTGGAGCTGGAGTTAGAGGTGTTTGGGAGCTGCTGACATGGGTACTGGGATAAGACTTTGGTCCTCTGTAAGAGAAGTGAGCTCTTTCTCCAATGAGCCATCTCTCCTGCCTATCTGCTTTGTGTAGAAAACTTTCCAATTCTCACTCTAAAGGACAAAAAGACTTGTAAGGCTATAAGATCAACTTCCACATGAAATCTAACAGACACACAAACACTGCTTTTGCTATAAAACTTTGACTCACCTGGACTTACTAGGTGACTAAAGGCAGGAAGAATTCTGAATCCTCTGTCAGGCATGTTAACAGCTCATGGAGTGTCTGCCTCACCTATCCTGTCCTGCTTCAGGGCTGGAGACACAGTGTCAGTCATGCTCCTGAACCTTGAACTCCAAGAGGATCAGAGCCTCGTGGGAAGATTACTCTTAGATGAGGGCAGTGACATAGGAGGGCGAGGCTGCACCCTGAAGCAGATGCAGCACCCCGAGTGATCCCTAAGGACATCTTTGGACCACCTTTCAGAATTAGAGCTGAGACAATGACCACACCTTGTCCAGAGCTGTTTAACAATGCACACCCCATGTTGCTTGTCTCAATTGTTTTTCTGCTCACTAGATAGAATCTTAATAGTTATAATTTAGGGTTAATGTAGGAGGGTGCTGGCTGTCTCCAGCACAAATAGAGATGTCAGTGTCTGTTTTAGGGAGCAGGAAACTTTTTTAGGGTCATTGAAAAAGGATTCATACACAATCAGGCTTTTTTTGGGTTCGAATTGTCAAGACATTCTATCTTATTTACCTGGATGAATGATACCTTCTTATTTTTTTCTTCTAAGTTTTTTTTTCAATTTAGAGTCATCTTTACTTTGTAATTGAGGAAACCAAGGATCAGAATGATAATTAGAATGTTTAATGAGGGTTATTATTAGCTGTTGTTCACAGATGACAAGGCTGTAATGCAACAATTCTCTCAGTTCTCACAGTAATTATTTAGTGTTTATAGATACTGCTTTGTATTTCTTAAATGTCTTCAATTTTTTCCATTACTCTTTGGATAAAAATACCCAAAGGTATAAAGAAAACAAAACCCTGATTTGTGTGTGTGTGTGTGTGTGTTTTAGTATTTTAATCTAATTTCACTGATGGGGGCTATGAAACTCTTTCTGAAAAAACACCAATGAATCTTGTTATACTAACAAAATTAAAGTGCAAAAGTACTTTTCTAGTGAGTGGCCACACCAACAACCACCATCAAATAAGAAGCACCCACAGTTAGGGCATGACTGTGAAAAAGAGAAATTCTGGGACCAAAATGTGTACTGCTCAGAGGGGAAAAAGATTGGTTCCTTCCAGAAAATCCATGTGTTGAATGAATTCCAGGGAAAGACAGTGATTTGTTCCTGACCACTGAATTCCTGGGCTCTTGCTTCCTTCCCTTCAGCTGCTACCCTGATTCAGCCAACTTTTCTGTGTGATGAATGTATGACTTGGGCTACAGACCAGAGATATTTGTTTCCGACCCATGGGCTGGTCAGGCCACTTCTGCAGCAGCTGGAGGACACAGTGTTGACACAGTTCTTAAGAATGCACAGTGACTTCAGTGCAAAAATATAGACTCGGGCTGGAGAGATGGTTCAGCGATTAAGAGAACTGGCTGCTCTTCCAGAGGTCCTGAGTTCAATTGTAACATGGTAACTCACAGCCATCCATAATGAGATCTGGTGCCCTCTTCAGGCCTGCAGGCATACATGCAGGCAGAACACTGTATCCACAATAAATAAATAAATACATAAATAAGTAAATACATCTTGAAAACATATAGACTCAACACACAAATTTAGTCCTTTCCTGGTGGGTTATCCCATGACCAAAGCAAGATACTCTTGAGAGTCAAGGGGCAGAGAAGTTTGCCTACCCAGTTTGAAGTTGTCCCAAAGGTTTTGGACCCATGGTGGTTGGAGGCTGGAGGACAAAGAATTCCTGCAGATATAGATAACATCTTCTTCATATTCTCTTACCATGTCCTTTTCCTCATTTGCCATCAAGAATGTGACAGCATGCAAAATAGGGCTGTAGCAGGTGAAACCGTAGAAAGAACATGGGCCCCAGCTGAACATAGTAGTGATCTCTGTGCTCTCTGGCTCTGAGAAGACTGAGATAGGAATACACGGGGGTTATGGTCCACCTGGACTATCCTGGGAAATTCTGTCTCTAAAACAAAATCAAAACAACAAAAC